AGCCTTCCACAGAGGCTGCCATGTTAAACTGTTTCTACAGTAGTCCACATTGAGCAAACCAAACACTTTAGATAGGGCTGTACACATTTTTCACACGGTTTGCAACCACTGTAGTTTCTCCTTCATTGGAAGGAAGGTGAGAACGAAAGAAAGTGAGGGAGTTGCAATCTCAAACTACACAGCTATATGCCACTAAATCCTACACAGTGGTCCTTTTAATTAGAGTTTCAAATAAATGACTTTTGCTTGTAATGATTTTTTTATTGTGGTATTGGTACTTTTACCTAAGTAGAGGATCTGAGTGCTTCTTCCACCACCGTAAATAGCGATAAGTTTGAAAGTCATAAGAATGTTGTTGGACAGCAGTTTAGTAAGATGTAAAGCTTTTTGCTCTGTAAAAAACAGTTTATAGTCCCATTTTGTTTCCTTTTATTCTGATCTCCTATAAATCTTTCCTGCAGTTATACTGCTGGAAGTCACTGGTGCAAACAGAATAATGTATTTCAGTTTGAATAATGACAATCCAGGAAATACATATTGAGTCTGTTTTGGTCCTTTTGTAATGGGATCTGAGTCTTTGTTTATAATAATTTATCACAGTGAGACACTGAGCGCACACCAGCACAAAACGACCCCAACTTCAATTTTAGATTCTAGCTGAGATATACTATATCCACGGCCATTTACACAAACCTTAGTTTAAACACAAACTACCATTTAACAGAAGAGCAGATGCAAATGTGTTTCCACTGCCTGTTGTGTCTGTCACATAAACATTCTTGTTAGGCAACAGCCTTTCAAAGTAATTTGGAACAAATTATGCTGTTTTCCATTTTACGTCTCAAACATTTTTTTTTAACGCCGAGTAGAAGACCTGTTGGCAACCAGCTGTTTAGGTGTTATTATTATTATTATTATTAACACGACTGGGAAGTTGCATCTGTCCTTTTAAATGAATTATGTTTCATCAAGGAACAAACATCTTCAGAGCGATTCCACTGCACTTGTCTTAATTGGCACGCTGTTATTGCTTTTATCATCATTAGCCTTTCTACAGTTCACAAATGGATCGTCATCATTTACAGTTATTTTCTGCAACTCATTTGATAATGGTAAGCCGCCATTCAACGCAGCAATTTGAAATTCCTCAAGGTAATTCAACAGCTTTCATGTTGTATATTATAACACCAAAATGCAGTCTTCTACCATCAAATGATCCTATTGAGTCTGGATATTGCCTGTGGTCTAAAGAAGAGGAGTCATATTTCTTATTAAGAGCAGATTAATGGGGACATATTCAGAGAGCCACAGGGGATGGATCTGTTTGTTTTCCAAGTGCTGGTGAGTATCCGTTTCTCATTCTTAACGATGTCCCTTTGCTCTCTGGTGTGATTTCATGGTCTCAAAGAAACACCAAAGAACAAAGCAGAGCAAAGGGCCATTTAGAGACAGGGAGTTAAATTATAAAAAGGAGAAAAGCAAAGAATATGAAAGTCTTTCACTTCTTTAAAGGACCAGTGTGTAGGATTTAGAGGCATCTAATGTTAAGTTGCAGTTTGCAACTCTGTCTTCACCCTTTCTTTCAAAACAAAGCAGAAAATACGGTGGGTGCAAAATGTGTGAAAAACGTAAACAGCCCTATCTAGAGCCAGTGTTTGGTTTGTCCATTCTGGGCTATTGTAGAAATATGGTGGTTCAACATAGAAGGCGACCCATGGCATCTGTAGATATAAGAGGCTCATTCTATGGTAACGAAAACACAACAATTGTTATTATTACGTTGTTATACATGCATATTATATTCAACTTCTACCAATAGATCCTTGCAAATTCTCAATAGTTAAAACACTAAATGTTATGGTGCAAGGCTTAGGACATTCAAATGATGTGTTCATTAGCCATCAGAGATTGACAAACAAAATAGCAGAGCAATGAATATAAAAACCTTTTAAAGCAACTTCAAATCATATGTCCTATAGTTTTCCCAGTTGGAAAGATAACCAAGCCAATCATGCGTGTATAAGCAAGATTAACAATCGGGATGCCATCTTCATGTGCCAGAGCCGGAAAAATTGCCTGAAATGGCCACAATTGTGGAATAGGTAGACACAACTATATGAGATGTTGTTAGTATACAGAGAAAATAATCCCTCCTACAGGGATCAGCTACCATGTATGTCAAACTAAAAAATGAGGTGCAAATGCAATGGTAGTTCAGTTTAATTATCTGGCTCCTCTGCTTGATGTGCAGATAATTAGTATTTGTGAGCAACCCGCTTACTAGCACATTTCCATAAGAGCTCAACTAAGTGATCATTTGTTAAGGTCTGTCAGAATGGATTCATGGTCTGCCTGCTTGTTTTTGATTTCATCTGCTTTCTACTGGCCAAGAATCGATTAATGCAGGTCTAAGTAGGAAAAACATAATCCAATAGGAAGGTTAAAGTGCCTGTGGCAGCATGAATCTGCTGTAGAACTCTTGACCAGATGCTGAATCTAAATTTTTAGAGTTTCTCAGCTGACCCTTAACTCCCAACACTGCAGAAGGATAATATTTTCTTTTAAGGACCAACAGCAGGTCAAGAAATATCACTAAAAGACAAAATGACACATTTATTAAGTATAAAAACCTGGCTTTTGCCATTTTTTTTGTAAATCTACTTTTGTAACTGTGGTGCATATTAAAAAAAAGTTTAAAAAAATGTGACTGTGACTGGGGTGAAATCTTGTATCTAAAAGTCTTTCCTCTCTTGACTGAACTGTATTTGGACATTACTGGCTTGTTAAAGGATTTCATCACCCCTAAAAGCTTAAACTTCCTCAATCCACAGTGGAACATATTTCTTCAGTTTAAATAAACACCCAAAAGTCCCCCAAAATTGGAGAGACCTGAAATTTTTACACAACATAGAGCATTAAATTCAGACAATGAAGTCTGACAGAACAATAGAAATTGATTTCAGACGGTTGTTTAAGAGCACCTCTTCAAAAGAGCATGAGTGAGTCAAAGACACCGTGGGCTTTATGCTGTTACCTACTCAGTCTCTCACCTTCCAGTGTTGCCATGCTTAGTGATTCATTCATGCAGGTGCTGCCAAAAAGACCTCAGGGGCAACTGGCAGCTCTGTTCGATGCCAGTCTTGTGAACTAGCAATGCTCACATCCACTGTCAAGCAAATACCTGGAATACACGGAGGACATGTAGCCATGATGTCTTTGAAAAACAACATCTCTACTTTTAAAATTTGTTTTGACCCTTTGAGATGGTCTCAAGCTTTCTCACTCTCAAAAAACAATAGAGCCACACCAGCAGCTCTGTGAGACTGTACTTAAACACAGTGGGGCTTTGAGCTGAAAGCGAATGTCAGCATGCCAGCATGCTCACAATGTAAACATGCTGATGTAGCAGCAGGTATAATGCTTGTTTACCACGTTCACCGTTTTAGGTTTATATGTTAGTATGCTTGTTTCCTGTATCTCTATAGTGTCATATCTGATAAAGGTGAAAATGTCCCAGATAAAAAACCAAACCCTTCCGCCATATCGCGCAATTTTCTTTTAGCATTTTACCAGTGATGTCATTATATGGAATCATTCTTAAATCATAAATCGGCTAAGAAACCATTAAAAAAACTATTTATTTATTTTCTTCAGCAATTCAGTAAGAGCCACCCTCCCCTTCTAAGCGCAAAGAAAAAACTACGGTGGCCACGAAATGCACAAAAAATGCGAATGACCCTAATGTTAGTGTTCGGTTTGTATTTTCTGGGCTACTGTGGACACATGGCAGTTCAACATAGCAGACTCCATGGAAGGTGACCCTCAACATCTGTAGATTTAAAAGGCTCATTCTAAGTAACAAGTCTTATTTCCAGGTGATTATACATTAAAGAAAACATACCTATGAATATTATATTCCATTTTTGCCAATACACTGGGCCATTAGCTGCTAACACTTTTAACATTTCCAGTTTGCAAAAATGTCAAAAAATGAAGAAGAAAAGTAATTGGCTCCATGGCAACATTATACTTCCACTTTACATCCCCCAAATTATGGGAACTGTAGAGCATGAATATCCTCAAAATCGAAGCAAGACAAAGACTAATAATAGAAGTGACAAAATCTATTAATAATCACTTTTTGTATCTAGAAGTAGCACTGTGGATATCTGTACCACATTTAATAGCAATCCATAGAGAAGTTTCTGGGATACAGTCGAGACCAAAGTGGTGGACAGAAAGACAGAGAAAAAGTTTACCACTATTGTTCTCCAAAATACAGGACAGAGTTGGTGTGTGTAGATGGATTTGTCTAGAGACATCATTTGATAATCTATTGCCATTTAACTGAGATCCTTTTGTGACCCTGTGGAACATTATACCATTGTCTCTCAAAATATGTCAACCCTCCCTGGTTCAGACAGTCACTCCCATGTGTGAAAGACAGCCATGTTCTAGCGGAGTAGTTGATGGATGAGCTCGTAACTGTTTTAAGCACTCACATGGGCCCACAGGAATAAGATGTATCACCCATCAAGCAGCTCATCCCAGCCGCCATAGAGAGGAGGGGTGGGTGGGGACTGGTGAGGAATAAAATGTGGCTCTTTTAACAAATTTAAAAGTGGATAGAGGAAAACTGTATATCACCTCTCCCAGTCTGTCCTACTTGCTATGATTGTCCGACCTCCTCATCTCTCTCTGCTCTCCTGACCTGTCAGTTAGAAATATCGAGGCTGAACGATCTACAGCTCTTCGATCGTCCTTACTTCGCCAACTCCTTCTCCTTGACAGTCTGTAGCCATTTCGTTCTTTTCTTACTTCTTCCTTTCACTGCCTCACACACTCTGGTTTCTGCTGCCTTTAACCTTCCCTTTAATTTACACTTAATTCTCTCTTCACAGACAGGTGCCTATTATTCCCCTGTGGCCTTTTCCTGCTCACTGAAAAATGGTGTATTAAATAACTCAGCTGGCCTCTCTCTTCCCTTTGTGTCTCCACAGTTCTTCATCCTCCTCCTGCTCATCTTCTTCCTGGAGATTCTGTCCATCATGCTTTTCTTCATTTATCAAGACGAGGTAAGACACCCTGATTGCTCTCATCGTGGTATATCCTGTGATTTTCCCCAGCTTAGCAAGAAAATAAGTGGCTGTGGAAAAGCTCTTCATATGTCATGCAGATTGCTGATGTTCCAGATAGAAGCTGGCATGTTAAAGGATGAGTCTCAGCAGCAAGGTTGTTTTGAAGTTCATACAAGCTGTGTTTGTTTGTTGGTTAAGAAAAGAGCATGTCAGCTGACATTCTGCATAAATGATGGTTTAATTAATGAAACTGAAATGATATTACTTTGGTTTACACAATCACATCTATCTCTGGGCTCCAAGACCGGGAAAAAAACACACTGTCCACAATTTCCCTTCCTTGTTAACAAACCTTAATTTATCTTAGCTCATCCATTTTGGATGATTTCCCCAGTAAATAAACAAGTCAGCCAAGAGAAAAGAAGCGGATGAGCTATCCCTCTCCTAATCCCTTCACATTTTCAGCTAAGGTTTTAATAATGCATTGAAAGGGCATGTTAAATTCCCTTTATCTTAATCTTAATTAAGGGTTTAAGGGCTGGATTTTGGATTTTTTGGGATATCTTAACAATATGTACAACATATTATTGTTATGTGGTATTGCAAATATTAAACCCTGGAGACTCGTTTGTAAACAGTGACAGTGTGTCTTATATTCTGCCAAAATATCTATCAAACACATAATAACAAACCTCATCTTGACAATGGGTATTATTGTGGGATTAGTTTGACCACTGGAGGGATTAAATTCCGAAAAATGTCTTGGTTGATGCTATGAATGACTCAAAAGTTAGAAAATATGGTCCGGGTGCCTTCTAAAAGCATTGCCTTAAAGGCCTTGAAAATTCTATATATGTTATCTTGTAATGCAGAACTGCTGTTAGTACAGTCTGAGGACTGCTCCGACTATTCACATAATCACTTAAAGGCACAATTAAATTCTTAACAAACAAAAGGGCCTGAACATTTTGCAATAACATAATCAAAAGTCCAAAGCATGTATTGCTGTGTTTTAATCAAATTACTAGTTAAATTAAATTACAGGCAACATGGCAAGCAGTAAAAACGAGAACAGCAGTGAACAAATGACTGCTTTTGTATAATTTCATGGTTGATCCTTCATCAATCAGCAATTCAATTACCATTTCAAATTTGGTAGAACATTCAGGGCTGCAACTAGTGTTTGTTTCCATTGTAGACTGACTGATGAATTGTTCAGACAATAAAATGCTGATAACATTTTCATAGAGCACAAGGTGACATCTTTAAAATGCTTGGTTTGTTCAACTAACAGACTCAAAACACAAAGATATGGAGTGGACTTCACTTTAGAGCCCCATCATAAATCATTGGCAATTACTCAACCACTTGTGTTACATTATTCATGTGCAGGGACAGAGAACATTATCCCCAAAGATTTAGGACAAGGCTAACACCGCTCATTTTGGTAAATAACACCCTACTTTGATATTTCCCCATGTTTCTGTCTAAATTATACTTGCGACCATAGACCTTGAACCTGCACATACTTTGTACTGGCTTTTATCTTTGTTATTGTAATTCTTGCATGATTATATGATTGCTTAATGTGTTGTATTTCCATCTCAGTTTGTCTTTGTTGGTGTAACCCAATGAGTATTTCTGTAGTGGCACGTTCTTCTGGGCTTTCAGCCAATCAGCACTGCTCTGTTTAGCTCTTAATGAATGTTGTCTTTTGTCATGCCTCACCTTTCTCTTAGGAACTGTGTTCCCTTATGTTCAGTGCACCCCATTATTCAGCCTCTGAATAATTCAGTTTTGTCTACCCAGGAGGCGATTAGCGACAAAGAGTAAAAAGTTGGTGATGGTATAGATGTTCTGCAGAACCGTTGCACCAAGGGGAATCACTCACAGTAAAGAATGGGCAGCCATTGCAAGAACTGCCATTGATATTTTTAAAACAGCATGGGACTTACTTTGTAAATGGCTAAACGTGATAACTGCTGGAAAACTGAAGAAAAGTTGTACAGTATAATATCACAAGGCACATCTAACAACATGGGTCACCTAATTATTTGGTAGCAAAGGGACTTTTTTAGTAACTAAAAATTCACTGAGGTATTATGTTTTCGTTAGGTAGTGTGCATGGTCCCTTACTACAAAGAGTGTTGTAGATCAAAGTAATAGGAATCATTCTGAGGCTACAGTCTGTGTGTTGAATGAAATTATCCACTCTTTTAAAACCTGCACTAGCAACAATCACTCCCAAAACTACTCATGATTATTTTAACTACCGCCCCTATGGTTAAGGTCTGGTTGTTTTAACCAACTTAACCACTCGGCTAAGATCACTGTCATTGGTGATAAGTGGAGACAAGATGTGAAACCCTTAATATGATGTTTAAATAATGCTTTCCACATCCAACCATTATCCTTATATAAGAATAAGAAAGACATTTCCTAATTTTAAGCTGCTTGAAAAAAGAAGTCTTTGCTGTTATTATTCTTAGGAGAGCAGTCTCCACACCCCATGCAAACAAACTGATTGATGGACAGGCGGATACTACACTACTGATATTAAGTCTTGTTTTGAAAATCCAATTGGATCAATACAAAACAATAAAAGGATCTGTTTCATTGTACTGTTATTATTTCATCAAAGCTTGCTGGAATTGTCTCCACAAATTGTTGTTTCCTGTGATGTTAGATCATGTTGTCTTAAAAACACCTCTTAGTGAATGCACTCTTTGGAGTTATTGCTCATGCATTTGATACAGGAATTAACTGAGAATAGTGAAAAGAAAGGCTTAATGTTTGACAATCTTTTGATGGTGATGAAAATGTATTCTACGTGTCTTATTAATGATGCGCCACATAAACCATGGTACTACCTTGCTCTCTCGAACATGATAGTACATTAGCTGCTTTTAATAATAAAATAGTGATGGGAATTCCAGCTTTTTTGAGTGAGTCAGTTCATTTGGCTCGGCTCAGCAATAAAAGTCGGCTCTTTATTTGGTTCCACTTTTGGTTTTTATAATTCAGGCTAAAGTGTAATGTTTTTACTTATGATTGGTATGTGTACTCATATTATCACTTAAATTTGTCAATATGATTACTCTAAATCATTTCAAGAATACCATAATTTTACATTACATGCTTGGTATTAAAACGTAAAATAATGTAACGTGTCACAATGCTTGGGTCTGTAGCAGTCTCTCATTCTTTTGTAATTCTCTTTTAATTTCCTTTTCCCCCCCAATTCATCTTAAAGGGGAACTTGGCAA